CATAGGATCAGAATTACAGGAATCGGCTAGTCAGAAGTATACAAATCCATTAATTTGTGTCTTGTTGATCAGAAGAAGAGAATACTACATGTTGTACTTTAGAGGCGTAGGTTTATTTTTTAAAAACTCTTCACTTGCCCCTGCCATGCTCTAATATATCATCAATGACATTTTCATATGTCACATAAAATGAAAAGTAATTACCATAGTAACAAAAAAAATTAACAGAGTTGCAACCATCACAAGATACAAAATGTATATGTGGTTTACTAGGACATTTAGGGTACGTCTAAACTACATGCCTCCGTCGACGGAGGCATGTAGTCTAGACACACCCTTACAATAATTGATTCCATAAGAAGAACTGATATAAAAGCAAGGTTATCTTGAACTCCACAATTAAAATTAAATAAATCAATGGCTTGGTTACCAATAAAACAAGATAAATATTCTGAAGGTCTAAGTCTCCTATGGAAGAAATGAAGAACTATCTATTTGGCTCCCTCGACAATAGGCTTAAATAAATACCCCTGGTGGTAAATCAGCTTAAGTGAACTTTGTTGCCAGAAGTTTCCTGATTGCTAGGATTCCTCATATATGGCAAACTGTTCTTTGAGGGACGGGACAGAACATTTTTCTCCAAAAGTTATTTTCACCATCAGGAAAAGAAAGTAAGTGCTTCTACTTCTCTGTCTGCTTAAAAGCCAAGTTATGCCCAAATACATATCTCCAGCAGAAAAAGGCATAAAGCAATCCAAGTTAGATAAATTCAGACTAGAAAAATGTAATTAAAACACAGCATGCAGTGAATCACTAGAACACGGGTTCTCAAACTTTTTGGCCCGTGGCCTACCTGGCTCAATGCAAACCTTTCTGTGGACCATCAGTTGCTAATAGAAACTCATCATTAATTACATAATTATGCCTGAGCCATTTTTCTAGTGCTGCAGCTAGGAAAAACTGTTTAAATTAAACTAGTAAGAAAGGACATATTAATTTAAATGATTAAACAGAAGACTAAGCACTTTAACTAGCTCATGTTCATTTATCAAACTTCACTTTAAATAAATAAAGTAAAATATTAATTTATGTCTAACACAAAAGGTTCCCATGTTTTCTTTATTTATGACTGAGGCTCAGGGTTTCCCATAGGCCAGATTTACCCTTTTGGAATTCAAGGAATTCTGGAATTAGTAGATTTTGTGGAACCTGCCCCCCATCCAGGCTCAAGGGTAGGGACAAATATGGGTTCAGTGTGCAGGATAGGGCTGCCAGAGAGAGGAACGGGGGTTCAGGATCGGGGCAGGAGGTGGGGGGCAGGAGGGGGTGAGAGCGTGAAGTCTGGAAGTAGGGTGCAGGAGAAGGCTGGGAGTAGGATGTCTGGCCAGGGGGAAGGCCAAAAGCAAGGGAGGGTGCAGTGTGTGGCCAAGAGGGAGGGTACAGGATCAAGGGTAGGTGTGGGCTGGGGGTAGGGTATCTGGTTGGGGGAAGGGGGCGGGGAAGTGCAGAAGCGGGCCACGGGTAGGGTGTATGGCCCAGGGGAAAGGTGCAGGAGCTA